TGAATCACGCTTCAAATCAGCTGGCTCTAATCCACACAGTGGTAAACAGCTATGAAGGCTGGCGTGAACGTTTTACCAATAAATACGGATATAGCCTTCAAAAGAGATATAGCTGAAAATAAACTGAATGGCGCCTAGACAACCATGCGTTAGAATTTCAATGTTCACCACGAAAATGGTTTCCGGTAGATCGGAAGAACGGTAATTGCATTTCCTCTAGCAATTTAGCATCGATATAAAATGAAGTCATACAGAAAGGCTATCGAGGGTCATCGTCTATAACGGGTTATGTCTTCAGAATGACTGAATAACTGGCAGAGAATAAATCTCCTATCCCAAGGACGATCGATCGAACGAAGAAAAGAGCGATCGACGTTTTATTGACTGGTTACGGTAAAAGAACATTTAGGTTTTCAAGTACATGCACACTGCAAAGTAATTACGGAATAATATCACGGCTGTTTTATACAGTAATGTCCTTAAATAAAGTTTACTAATTACAGTGTGCCAAGTCTAATTGTCGTCAGAGGGACAGTTTATACCTCAACAATAAAAACCGCTTAAATTAAAACAGAAAGCAAACATATGAATCAAATATGAGAAAACAGGAAATGGGCAGTTGCTTTATTTGGCTAATGTAAAGTTTAATGCAGTCAAATAACAATATCAACATCAACACTGTTTTCTCTCAAAGACTACGTATCTTATCAACGCAAAGTCACGAAGCAAAAGAATGTCAGTTAAAAGTTTCTTTGTCCAATCGCCAAAGAAAGGAAATGTCAATACATGCCGTAACTAGCAAAAGGAATACCTATGAATTTAGTCAATTAAAGTATTTTTGAATTACCATTATTCATTATTCTGTAAAGTGTGACGTAGATCATAATGATGCGCTCAAATTGGCGTTGATATGCGGAAATATTTCTTAATAAACTGAATCGAAACCTACCACAATCTCCTTGTTGGGTAAAATTCTGCAATGTCATTTCTTTAATGTGTTTCGCCATTGTATTTTCCCAATTTCCAAGGATGCAACTAAAACTATGCATTCAGCGCTTATTTAAACCTTATAACTCCAATAGAATACTGCAGTGACAACGCCATCAATTGCTTCCGAAGCCACTAAAATTAGAGAACCCGTTACCTGTTGTACAGAATTTTCATTCTACAAGACTTCAACAGCGCGCTTACTGAGACAAGAAAACAGCCAGATGCTCGGCACCGCGTAGGAATAAACGCTTTAATAATTTTAGTGTCGCTAAGTCATGGCGAGGTGCAAATAAAGTAAATCAAATTTGATCAACTGAATGTAAAAATTCTTTACAGCTTTTTGCTTCCACACAAATAAAAAAACTGCTGCAGGAACATTACTCATATTATCGAAAATTTGACCCAAACAGAATTTTCATGACTGACAAATCTCCTTTAAAGTGATTTATTTAAGAAATGAACTAGTAGTGTTCAATAGTAATATAGTTTAAATAAACTGTGAATCGCCCAAAATGACCATAATCATAATCTCACTTTTGCCGAAATGTTCTCGGCAAAGTTAATTACCTCAGTCTCGGATCTGAAAGTGAGCTTTGTAGTTCATCCGTGGTTTTCGCTATTTTCGTCGTCAAACTGCAGGCAAAAGTAGCAATAACTTTTCTCCGTCTGATTTATTGTCTACTTCACGCCAATTGTTAAAACCATCCTGCTGTATTCACATGTTTCAAGTCCATTTTTTATGGCAAAAAATACCGAAACTGTAACAATTATGTAATTAAATGCAAAACGAAAAACTAGAATTCGTTGGTTTGACGCATTTGCAAAATTTCTTTTAAAAACTGAAAGAAAACGATTTTAGACGTTGAAAGGAATGTGGAAAATAGCATTCATAAAACGTTTTCAGCTATGTAGCACTCAGACTAATAAACAAGGTATGGATGCACAAATAAATAAATAAGAAAATGGAATCTTCGTTTAACTGTAATGCCCAACCAATTGAACAGACTAAGAACGCTCTCACTACTGCAAATGAACTTTTTTTTTGAGTTAAGACCAACCGATCATGATAAGGAGTTCCCGCTGCCCATAAATGTCGTAGAAGACAAGCAACAAATAGGTCTGCAATGAGACGTCGACCTGTTGCTTGTTTGGCCACTGTTGCTGACTTTCTGACTCTCTTATCAAAACAGACAAACAAGTAACAACTACATATGTTTTCCAGCCTATGATACAACAGCGTTAATGGCATTTTAATCGTTCGGGTCTAAGAATGAGGTCAGCTGCCGTGGACAAGATTCGGCAACCAAAATGGCCCATCAAAATGCCAGTTCAGATTATTAACGTTTGAGCATGTTAAGACGCTGTCTCAATTTGGTTTGACGCGTTGCAGTCTGATATACAGAATGCAACAGAGACAAAAGTAGTGAAGTTTACGCTTGTGCGAAACGAAGCAACCCGCTAAGAACTGCGTTGCTTCATTCTGACATCTACAGACATGAGGTTTTATTCTCTACGATTAAATATTAACCCTAAAGTAATTCGGTCATTCGGATCATTTACCAGTAAAGACGTCTCAGCTCATGTCTTACAACCTTTTCCCAAAAAAAGAGATTGACGACCGACTTGGTAGTCTTTTTGTCACTTGCAGGAGTTGGTACGCGCGAAGTCTGAAAGCGAGCCTCGGTTCTGTGCTGAGGCTAGACAATCATCCGAGTGAGAGGTTTATAAATAAACCGTGTTTTATGTTGCTTTCAGAATGATAACCAACACAAGGACGAAGCACTCAATTAGGTTTGCTAACTCAAGTTACCATGCCATCATCTTAAATATTTTCTGTATGATGATGTGTCCCCCACATTGCTATATTCAAGCAAACATGCTTAATGACTTTTGTTATGATCAGAAGCCCACGCGTACATTAAAAAATATCTCAAAGTGAAAACTGCAATTTTTTCATACGGCATGACCGACTCTGAAAGCATTCCAATTGTAAATCCCAGTGACGGTGAGATTTGAATTTTCTTTCCATAAAAATTACAAAATTAAAAGTAGAAAATGATTTAAAAGGTTAATATAGACTTGAAACTTTGAAACTTTTTCTTATTTTGTGCCCAGTTTTGCCCCAAATGTCTAAATGCGTTTCTTCCTTGTCGATCCATGATATAAGCCCTGAACACTGCGAACATAATTCATGAACATACAATAAGAAATTTTAGAGACAACGTAATGCAGTAGGTGGATCGAATTCATAAGCCTCAAAGCAACCTCATGATCAGCATGCATGAAGGTTGGCTACGGAAAAATGCGAAGAAAATCAATCGAATCACTTGGACCAGCCAGTAATCGGCGATGAATCGTACCTGTCGCCACATGCATGCCATTCCTCGCAGTACGAGTCTTCTGCCTCTAAACGCGACCTTTCCGGTACCTGACAAAATCATGCCATCGCCATGGTGGGCGACCAAGAAGCCTAGTTCACTCGTGAGGGCACCAGTTGACGATCGTCGCCAACAATCTCCCGTCGGTGGTCGAGTAACGTGCCCGGTCCACCGTTGCTTCTCCTATCTTTTTCGACAACAACGTTCTTCACTCCCGTCCGCTGTTTCACAGCGGAAATCCCCAACATTCATTTTCACTGGCTCTCTCGATGACAGAAGGATGGATGGCGATTTTCGGCTTAAGTGAGAGACCACACCTCACTGTTATGCAACACTGCCGGCAGCACAGTAGAATGAAAGGGGTAGGGGCGAGCTTTTTTCCTAATGTTGCAGAGGAGGGCATCCTTGAGGGAATGAAATGCACGCCAACCGTCTCACTTTCTCATTTGAATCTTTTTAACCCACTCATACCGCATGCTGATATCACGGCCGAGATAAATGTGCTTATCGAATATTTTGATCTTTCCGCCGTTTAAATTACCCTCGCTTTCCACAGGGAATTCAATCGCAGTAACTTCATCTTTCACCTTCTGATTTACAGTCCCACATATTCGTCCGCGCACTTGCATTACGCCTTGTAGCTGACTGGCGCTTTCCGCAAACAACACCAAATCTTGAACGAATCTTAGGCGGAGGTGTTCACCCTAGATGTTAACCTCACCATTTCAGTTCGTCCTGTAGAACACCACTTCAAAACAGACAGTAGAGTTTGGCGACATACAGTCCCTTAATATTACGTCTTTCTTTAGAAGAACCCGGAGGGAGAGTCAAACAATCTGATGTCTGTGAAGTAGCCAGAGTTCGTCTCCTTTAGCAGGTTGATTCAACCAGCGTCGATGCCGTATACACTGTGTTGCACTCGACGGTGTCGAACGGTTTCTAGCAGTGGACGAAAATTATGCAGAGAAGGAGAGCTGAAATTCCTTCGTTCGCTCTCGCCCGAGGAGTTAACTTAAGGTGTAGATGTTATCCGTTGTGATGTAGTTCTTTCGGAACCTTTCTTGTTTTCCTGGATGCTGTTCGTCGAAACCTGTTGATTATCTTAGTGAACAGCTTGTAAACTTGTGAGAGCAGAGAGATCGGACGATAGTTCTTCAGATCTTCCCTCTCGCCGTTCTTCAACAACACGATTGATTTTTATTCCCTTCATTTGTGCCGTTTCTCTTTTCTGGTAGCAACTGAACCTCTTCGCTATGGCACTCAATAGCGTCAGACCATTCGCTGTGATTGTTTCAATTGTCAGGCCTCCTCTCCTTGTGGTTCTTCATTCGTTCATTTGCTGTGTGCCATGTCGAACTTCGCTTATGAGGACAGGGAGTGCATTTCCTTCTGGCTGTTAGAATGATGGTGGGCGAACGTTTGTCTTTGACACCAAAAGCTAGGTGTAAAAGTTCTTACAGGTAAACTGCATCTCAGCTTTGTGCCGTGCTGGTCGAAAAAGCGCTAACACTCTCCTGTATTGCCAAAAACTTCTGCGATCTTCGACAGTTTCTCCCATTTTCGCAATTGAAGGGTCTCGAAATCTTCCTGCAACTCTGTCTGATGAGCTAGCAGATACGAGAAAGCTTCGCCGTGTCGGTCCCATTTTTCTCCATCCTCATCCACTTCTCTAGCAAACTCCTCGTCTCCTCTGAGACTCTTCCCTTCGCTCTCCTTGATGTTACCACCTCGGGTGATTTTACGCACAGCCTCAGTTTCTCGGTAAACTTCTAGAAGTCATCTACGTAGCTGATTTTCAGGCTTCAGTCTACACTAGAAATGCGCGCTTGGAGCACTGCCTTGTTGAATACCTGCGGCGCCCTCGTCGTGGGCCGTGATTTGCTATCAGCAGTGCCTTCCTGTCCAACGTCTCATTGGAGGTT